ACATAAAATGGGGGATCAATTATACATTAAAATCAATATATAAAGTGATCCCTCACTTTGCAGCCACCATGTTACTAGTTAACTTATAACTGGGGGGGGGGAGAAAATAACTTTCCCAAATGTATATGCCCATAAGTGAATATAATGAACCTAACAGGAATCGATGTTTGGATCGATTTATATTCCAGAGATTGTAAATAAATCTAAAAGACATGCCTGTGTTGCTAATCAGTATTTCATTGAATGATTTATTTTCTACGGCTTATCAACCCTTTGCAGGTTATTTAAAGCCAGAAATTATTTTAAGAATGTAAGAATGTTTTTCTTTTTGATTAATAATAGTTTAGTGATATTTGTCTTATTAGTTAACTTATAACTAGGTGGGGGAGAAAATAACTTCCCAAATGTATATGCCCATAAGTGAATATAATGAACCTAACAGGAATTGGAACTCGGCTCTCCGATTAAACACACATCCAAGCTTACATCATCTGGTATTTCCAAAAGGCTCAAGTTGCTAAACCTTCAGCATTCTGTATTATTAATATTACTTCACTTTCCACTGCATTTTTTCAAGGTCTCTTAATTGCAGTATCTTTGTTAATTTTACTCAAAGTTGTTTTCTGTTGCCATAGATGGATATGACAGCACAACTATGCAATTTAAACACTATCATTCAGGGATCAGATAAATTCAGTGTTACGATAAACCTTTCGTACAGCAAACGAAGTCACTTGCAGAGTGATAAAGGTTAAATTCGCAGATTGCACAAGAACTAGTGTTTCAATATGATGTGGCCGTAAGCCGAGTGTCCGCGTTAAATTACTAGGTACAGGTAAACCTTGTTAGCATTAGTCATTAAAATGCTGGCCATCTTGGATTTAATAAAACAATGTTACATTAAAATGCGGTGATCTACAGAACTTGTTGCTGCTTTACGAAACGAGGAATTCATCGCATTTTAGGAACATATACTTGTAATTATTTGTTTCTCAGATTTTAAAAGCCAAAAGTTGACAACCCAAGTAAAATCGTTCAAAATCGATTATTTACATATGTACCTTTGGAAATTTTTCTTATCCTCGGTCGAGTACAAAGTAACTTCCTGTGTAGATTACTTCTACAGAAACATAATTTTAAAAAATCCTCTCAGTATTAGCAAGGAATTTATTTACGATTGTTTTGGCTAACATTTTATAAAGTTTTATATAAAGACTGGACATTTGTGCGGTGACGATTGGATTAAAAAAAAACAACAAAAATCTATGGACATTAAATACGGTGGTCTATAGAACTTGACTCTGAGATGTTTATAGCATTTAAAGAACACACTCGCTCCCCAATTAGGTCCTTAAATTGAGGTTTTACTGTATTTTTTTTATCACGATTTCTGACAGATTTTTTCCGTGCAGAAAACCAAAAAATAATTATTAAAATCCTTTCGACCAAAGAAAAACAAAATGAAAAAGACCCCACAAAAAGCGGTTATGTTCTGAAATATGCAAACACATCTCCAATGGGTAAAGTTAATTAGAGTGTATGATCCTTCATTTTTAGGGGAACATGTTTGGCATGTCAGGAGGGACCTCTCCTTATCAGCTTTTCAATATGGAAGCAATTCACCAGAGAGCATCATGGGAATACTGCAGGAGCCATATTGAACATTTATGACATACTGAACACAAACGATGACGCATTTAATCGGGAGCTTTCCATGCCCCCGTGGGAATTCAGAACGAATAGCGTCATCTCACACTCTCTCAGACACACCATTCTCTTGGTGCAAATTGAAGTGTTAGATTTCCTAAGAGTTCAATGCTCATCGAAAATCCCAATACCAAACCCGTTTTACCGATTTTTCTGATATTCCAATAAAGAAAATGGAGATGAATTAATTAGAAAAAAAACTGTCTGTCAATATTATCAAGAAAATATGGAAATAGTAGAAAGATTCCAAAAAGACGTAAAAGCATTAACAGTCAACATTAAACGTCTTTTTCAATCTAATCTAACACGGATTTTAAATTTATAAGACCTCATTATATGCAATGGCAGAGACAAGCAAGTTTTACACGTCTGAAATTACATCTTTTTATATGAATGTAAAGACAAGTGAAAAAAGAAAACACTACATTGTATTTTTATTAATTTTTATTCTTTTTCTTATTTTCCCGCCATCTTCTTTAGTTATATCTTATCACATCTCTCGCTTCTTGTCAATGATTGACTTTACAAGCCTTGACTAATTCCCTAGAGTAAAGGATTTTTATTTATTTCCAAACTAAGATGCTTACTGAATGGCCATAGAAATAGAATTTATTATTGCAACGTTCAGGTCAATTAATTTCTGATCCATGCTAGTTATATAACTGTCAAAGAAAGAGAAAAGCAAGTGTAAACGGACCTAATGGTATTAAGTTGTCCGAAATCCTTAGATGAAGCATTGTCGTTATTATTAATTGTTGGCTAGTTTTTCTTTCATCTTATTTTTGTTGCTTTTTATTACAATGTTCAGATCGATTTATTTTTTTACCCATTCTTTTTATTTAACGGTCGTAGAAATAGAAATGATTTATAAATAGACGTAATAGTCTTAAGTTGTCCGAATTTCTGAGATGAAATATTGTCATTATTATGCTTTTTGAACTGGCTTTTCTTGCATTTTTAATGCTTTTTTATCGCAACGTTCAATCGAATTAATTCGGATATAGGCTGCTTGTTTAACGTTTGTAGAAATAGAAGTGCATTGTAAATAGACGTAATAGTCTTAAGTTGTTCGAATGGGATAGTGATGACAAACATCCAATGTTTATAAAATGCTGACGTGACATGTGTCTCAAATAGCCTCTGACAGCTCCAACCCAGAGAATGGGCAAAGGTAAGAAACTGGCGCCTCATAACCAGAAGTTTCCGGTAGATGGAGCTCGACAAACCAGGAAAGCAGTCCATATTTTCCTATGTGCTGCGTCCCTTCAAGATAAAAGGCGATCATGGCTCTCCAAAATTTAATGCTCTTTAGAAATTTTGTCTTTTGTTATCTCTCCTAAACCTTGTTCAGCCATCCATTTACTCAAGCTCATTTTTCTTCTATGTGCCGTGTCCATTCAGGATATTGGTGATCATGGCTCTCCACAATTTCCTCACTATTGTAGCTCTTAATAAATTTTGTCTTTTTGTTATCTCTCCTAAATCTTGTTCCGCCATCCATTTACTCAAACTCATTCTTTTTCTTCTATGTGCTGTGAAACTTCAGGACATTGGTGATCATGGCTCTCCACAATTTCCTGTCCTTTGTAGCTCTTAATAAATTTTATCTTTTTGTTATCTCTCCTAAACCTTGGTCAGTCATCCATTTACTCAAACTCATTCTTCTTCTTCTATGTGCCGTGTCCCTTCAGAATGTTGGCGATCATGGCTCTCCACAATTTCCTGTCCTTTGCAGATTTTTGTCTTTTTGTCATCTCTCCTAAACCTTGTTCCGCCATCCATTTACTCAAGCACATTCTTCTTCTATGTGCTGTGTCCCTTCAGGATGTTGGCGATTATGGCTCTCCACAATTTCCTATCCTTTCTAGCTTTTAATAAATTTTGTCTTTTGGTCACCTAAACCCTGCTCCGCCATTCATTTACTCAAGCTTATTAAGTTATGCGTTGTTTTTTTGTCCCTCTTGCCGTCAACTTGTCCTGTGAGGATCAGATTTTCCAAGCCTTCTTTCCTTATTATGAGCCCTAGAAATTTCAAGGAAAATCCTGATTTTAAACCTCCGCTGCCTTGCTGTCATATCCAAAAATATTCCAGAGACGAAACCTCGGAGTGAAGTCCTGAAGGCGGTTGGTTGTCAACACTAACAACTTTCCGGCAAATTGTGCAGCCAAGCCGCCCTGAAATCTTATGCCCTGTATACATTCGGATTTTGTCGGTATGACCGAGAGGTGGGTGTCATGTAGTCTGGGCAGCGTACAAGAGAACTTTTTTTAAGCATTCACATCTAGCAAGGCGGGAAGCCACCAGTACGCAAGGGGTTACAGTGGATTTGGAGCAAGAGCAGATAGGAGTGATAGAGGAAAGGATGAGGAGAAGGATAGTGGATAGATCAAGGCAACTGGAGATGTCGATTGACATTACATTTGAATAGTTGGAGATTATAGCTATCAGGGAAACAGGAATAGGAAAAGGAGTTCCACGGGCGAGAGGTGCGAGATATGAAGCTATTGGAGTAGAAGAGACGGCTACATTTAGGAGTTTCGACAGTAAAAAGGTGAGAGCGGGATGCCAGCCTCGTAGGGCGCTTGAATTTATGAAGTCTAGGAATTCATACGAGTCTCACCATCAAACAGGACAGCTAGCTTTATCCCGTGACGTCCTGGGTCTGACGTTAGACTGCATCCAACAGCAAGGCCTCTGATCAGGATGTTTTGAGGAGCGTGGAACCACCTCTTAATTATTGGTGTTCCCAGGTCCACCCTGACCCGGGGTGGTAGCATCTGTTAGGGTCCCAGCTATGGGCAAATAGTGAACTAGTTTTTTTCCAGATCTTACCCACATCCTGGGTATAACAATAAACTACATCCGCGTCCTGTGTATGGCGATAAACTACGTCCAACAGAAAAGCCTCAGATAATGTTTTCGGAAAAATAATGTTGCCAGCTGTACGCTTTTGAAAAAGTAATGTTGCCAGCTATACATTTCTGAAGGAGTAATGTTGCCAGCTATACTTTTAATAGTACTATATATATATATATATATATATATATATATATATATATATATATATAAAAACTTAATAAACTATATATATATATATATATATATATATATATAAAAAAACTTAATTTGGGATCAAATGACCTACAGTGGTTGATATGCCATAAAACCCAACCAACCAACCAATTTATCCCGCGAGATAAAAAGATAACTATTATATTTAATAATTATAAAATAATTTTAAATAATTTAAAAAAAAGAAATTTAAAAAAAAAATAATTAAAAAGGTACTTACAAAAACAGGATCGCAACTTATTCTGTCAATCGCGGTTCTTCTTGCTGGAACTTGGATATGTGGGTTCAATTTGAAGAGACAGCTGAAATCTTTTTGGAAAGACTGTGCGAAAAAAACAAAAACAAATAAAACAATGTGAGAAGACAAAATTTAATAATATATATAGGTGCAATATATATATATATATATATATATATATATATATATATATATATATATATATATATATATATATATATATAGTAATGGATAGTGGGCTTGGATTGAGGAATCGGAGAGCCGAGTTCGAATTCAGTCGAATCCATTACATTCACTTACGTGCTAACACCCTTGGGAAAGGTGTGAATCCTCTTTCTTCTCCCTCCAGCTATGGGTAAATAGCAGGACAGACTGGGTTCTATAGCCTTGGATGGCAACTGGTCTAGGAGAAGGAAAAATCTGAATTCAAAACCTGCGGAGGGTCGTTTGGGGACCTTGGGCACGTAGTGCACCAGGTCTCTGTATTCGGCCCTTCAAAAAGTGTGGATGGTCCTGCACGAAACCTTCACCACTATAATCAAATCTCATGTGCTGTTGTCGGGCTGTCGGTTTCCTGGGAACTGATCTGTTTGACCCTCATACGTCGAATTCGACAGGAGAGTCAGTATATATATATATATATATATATATATATATATATGTATATATATCCGATACAATGAGAACGAAAGTAATATATAAATTCTAACGTCCACAACATTAATCCAAAAGAGGGCTCGATACCGATAGTAGAGCAAAATAACTATTTATTATAATTTTATCATATAGACAAAAACAGTTTACACACTACAAGGATGCAACTTCGTTTCGGTGAGTTTCAACTGCACCTCACCACTTCTAAATTTATTAATTTACAAAACACTTCCATTGATTACAGAATTAGTAGTGATAACTCCACCGTAAATATATGGAACTCCGTTTTAGCTTGGTTTTTATAGTAAACCAAAAAAAAAAAAAAAAAAAAAAAAAAAATAGCATTCCCAACTACTACTATAACTATAGTATTTACATTAGTCGGACTATTGTCCTCATCTTTGTCGCCATATTTGTCACAACGTTTCGGACTGAACCCTTTATTTCGATCACTGGGGTAGACTGTTCTAGTTCCTCCTGCCCTGTTTGATGGATGTCAGTTATCAGTTATCTCCTGCTAATTTTCCCTCTGAAAATTCTCCACTGCCTTAACCAGGTATTGAACTCACCTTCTTTGGGTCTGTCACTGGATCTAACCAACGCCTTTATCCACTGTGCCATGTGTCCTTGAGGACACATGGCACAGTGGATAAAGGGCTACTATAACTATCGCTAAAATCTATTCCACCTACCTCTTCCATCGCATTATTATCTCCTGTTCCCACCTTTCCTCCCCATTCACTCTTAGGACGCTTGTGAGATGATGTGCCTAGACATTTGACCGTCGTTATCGGTAAGGAATCTTCCCAGACTAGCCAGCATTCAACACCCCACCCATCGTTCACCTAACTGCTATCAAGAAACACTATTGTTTCTCTCCGTCACCTTTTTGCTTTATGTATATTCTTTTCTCAAGCAAATGGAAGAAAGGAAGTGACGTTTCACACACGGCTAGCTTACAAGCAGAATCGTTTATAAACATTTTTGGTTCTCACCAGTCGAGGTGCAATTGAAATGCACCGAAACGAAGTTGCATCTTTGTAGACCATATTTGAGTAAACTGTTTTTGTCTATATGATAAAATTATAATGAATAATATATCTCATAATATATATATATATATATATATATATATATATATATATATATATATATTATATATATAAAATGATAATATTATTTGATAATTCCTATGGATAACTCTAAAGAGGGTATAAATCGAAAGAGAGCTCAATGTAAGAACAGAGCAAATAATAATTATGAAAGCGGAGACTTTAGAAATCCATGGTAATATTTTATTTCGCAAAACCAATACTACGGTTTCGTCTCATCAGACGAAACAGTTTCATAGTAATAAATGCATTTTAAATTTATCCAGGCACAAGCGGAAAAAGGAAGAAAATTTCGAACATAAGATGGGTTTTAAAATAAAGATGTAATTTGGGGAAAGGGAAAGGGAAAAAAAGAGAAAGAGAAGGAGATATGTATATATATGGGAGGGGGAGTAATATAGGAAAGGAAACAGTTGTGGAGAAGAGAAGACAGGTTGAAATTTTTTTACCGGATGTGAGAAGTAAAGTAGAGAGAATATAGAGAACATATATTCAAAAAGGATGAAAAGAAAGAGAAGAGAAAGAAAAGAAATAAAAGACAGTAGAGATTCGGAACTGACAAGCAAGAGGGTTTGAATTTTACAAGACTGAATATATTCATAAGTTGTCTGTTCCATGCATGTAGTTATTTTACATCATCACTATAGAGTCACAAGTCATTTCCTGCTTCAGTCAACCACAGATTGGAGGCCGTTTTCGAGACCAACGGCCAGGTTAACTTTGTCAGTAATGCCGGATTTACTATTGAGACAGGAGTAAATGGTAGTGTCGTCTGCGTAGATGCCTACTTGAGAACTAGTGACGTCATGAAGATCATTGGTAAATATCAGAAATAGTGCAGGACCAAGGATAGAGCCTTGAGAAACACCAGTGTTTGTATGGAAGGAACTGGGAGAGAACCCGCTCAGGACAAGCTTCATTTTACGGTTAGACAGGAATGATTGGATTAAATCAAATAGTCGTCCTGTAATACAGTATCCCTGAAGATTACGTAGAAGGCCAGCATGCCAAACCCTGTCAAAAGGCTTAGATATATCTAGAGACACAGTTCGAGCGTAGCCGTTATTATCAAGAGCTTGGTATACATATTCAGTTATGGTCGTAAGCGCATCAGCCGTAGACACGGAAACCATATTGTTTGTCAGAGAGCAGATCGTGTGAGGTGAGATGCTTAACTACTTCGGCATTGAGTAAAGCCTCGAAGACTTTGCCGAAGAGTGGTAGGAGACTGATGGGATGGTAGTTAGATGGGTCAGAAGGGTCTCCAGAGTTCTTAAAGACCGGGACGACAGAGGAGGACTTCCAACAGGCTGGAAAGCAAGAATTGGCGAGGTAATAGTTGTATAGTTTGGAGAAAACTGGGGTCATCTCAAGGGCATATATTTTTTTAGAACTACGGCTGACATCCCGTCACCATCCCTTGCTTTATGAGAGTCTAATTTAGACGGGGTTATGCACACCTCACTCAGTATAGCCTCAGTTCTAGGGGGACAATTGTGAGTACCCTGGACGAGTCGTGTGTTGAACTGACTGAGAATTTCTGAGCAATGCATTCAGCCTTATCAGCTGAGGATGTTAGGACTTCGAACTGATTGAATAGAGGTGGGATTGAGGATTAGCTATAGTTCAGCACGCTCTTGCAGAGACGCTAATAATCTTTAGGACCAGACTTGCGAGATGTAATACGTTTCATTCTCCGGTACAAACGGAAGAAGTGATTCCGATGGGCTATAGCGGCAGAACAAGCAGGCGAGAACCAAGGAGATGAGCGCGATTTAACTTGGTGTTTTCTTGCTGTGATGTAAGCCTCGATGCCAGTTTTTACCCAGGAGGAGACCTCAGACGCCCATTTTTGTACGGGATGTTTAAAAACCTCATTCCAAAGGACGTCGCGAAGGAAATGACGGAACGAGTCCCAGTCTGCGCGTTTATAACAGAAAGATATTCTGTTAGTAGGAGGTTCATGGCTGGAGGAGGAATGGAAGGATATGTTAACCGACACCACCGAGTGATCAGAGTTGCCAAGAAGGCAGAACTGGGTAGCGCGACAAGAATCAGGGATGGAGGTAAAACAGAGACTGAGAAGGGAATCGTTATCGTCCGGGTTACTGGGGAAACGCGTAGGAAATTCTACCATTTATCAAAAACATTTTTCACATCCTAACCTGCAGATTTTTACTCAAAGGGTATTGAAGATTCACATGAGAAGTGGCGATAAGTCATTGCACATAACGGTGAATAAAGAATTGAATAAAATATAATTTTAGTCTGTTTCTTGAAGAATGAAGTAAATAAACAAAAACGAAGTTATTTATGAGTCAACCTATTAAGTAAATTTGTCTTTCTCCATCTATCATTCTCTTCTTTCTTGCCAATGTCTTTCATCACACTTCATTTTGCTTCTCCCTTCATTATTCTAGAAATTTTGATGATTCGCATTCATTAGCCTTTCATCAAGACTCGATTGTAAATATTTTAGAAGTTGGAGTCCAGTATATAAATAGATCTCTGACTTCTTAAAGAGTTATTAGTACTTGGTTTTTATTTACAAATATCAGGTTTGAAACTCAGCCTACGTCATTGGTAATTATTTACTATTAAAATATGGGAAAAAGAAAATCTCAGTAGAAGTTTGTCAAAACCTACGGGATTTTACTCGAAAGCTATCAAAGACCCGCCTGATAAGTGTCAGCAAAACATTGCAAATAATGGTGAATGAAGAACTGAATATAATGCAATTCTAATCTATTTCTCGAAGAATAAAGTTGGTAAAGATAGACGAAAGATATTTATGCCTGAACCTATTCGGTAAAAATCTCTTTTAATGATGGGCAATATACCTTCTATTGGATTAATGTCTGGGAAGCCTAGGGACCATTCCATTAATGTGAAGGGGCGTTATTTTGGATCGGTATACACTTTAACTTTAAGTTTCTTGGTTGTGAATTACTCTCCTCAAAAAACGTCATGTCCAAGGATTTCCAATAATAATAACACTTTCTCTATCAAGAGTTCATCAAAAACGTTTTTCACATCCAAACCTGTAGAATCTTACTCAAAATTATTGAAGACCCGCAAATAAGGGTAAATATATAATTGAATAAAATGTAATTCTAGTCTATTTCTTGTAGAATAAAGTTAATAAACAAAAACAGAATTTATTTATGAGTCAACCTATTAGGTAAATCTCTCTCTCTCCATCTATCATTCTCTTCTTTCTTGACATCTTTCATCACTCTTCCGTTTGCTTCTCTCTTCAGAGTTATTTGTACTTTGTTTTTATTTACAAATATCAGGTTTGTAACTCTGCCTACGTCA